TTAATATAAGTTTAACATAACAGCAAATGTACAACGTTTCGTTAAACTCATATTAAAGTTTTTCTTCATTACCCATTCAAGCCGTCTCCAGCCATTATTAGTCTCAAAGTGGGTTCCTCGTCATCCAATTTAAAGCTTCTCTATTAAAATGCATTGCAGCTTAAGTCTTCCTTTTTGTTATTTTGCCTTTTTGTTGAAAACACATATACAAACATTATATTAAATTGAGAACGTCTTACTGGGACCGATACTTCTATTAATGTTTAGATGGGATATTATTATCGTCATACTGAATATGGCTGTGCTATATCAGAAGTTTCCAAGTCGTTTTTGTAAGGACACAATGAGTTTCGTTTTTATTGACGTTTTTCATTTCTCTAGCAATATACACTATAACGGAACTTGGATACTGTTCAATTCACTTTTAACTATTTAATAGATTTCATAAAGACTTGATCCGTTGACCTTACGAGCACGAGAAAATTAGATTCAAACGATTACGTTTTTTCGCATACCGTTAGATATTTTCTGGTGAGCTATTCCCACAAACGTCTTCTTACGTTGTTGATAGTAATTACCATTACTTACTCTACCAAACATTTAATTTTCAGATGCTTTATATTCTATATTCTCCTTGGAAAAGTGTTGTAGATGATTGTAAACGTCATTCGACTCTTCTTTAAAGTTATAGATCTTATTGATCTCAACCAGTGTTTAATGATCAAAACAATAAAAGCTATTCATTAGTAAGTATGACAAGATATAATAATGCAATGTGATAAACCACCATCGTCAATATTCTTCAGATCAATATGATCAATGTCATTTTGTACTTTAATTTCTAGTGTTGTTCCTTTGCATACGAAAATGACTTTAAATTAAATGTACGTAACCAGTGATCTACATTATAAACATTTCTTATCCTGAATGAAAAGAAAGTCAAACAACAAGATACCTAACAGGGAAAAAATATTTGATATGTGTTTATATTGTAATAAACTAAATTATGTCTCATTCAACCATACTGCATTTGTTTAATTTTAAGCATGTACTGAGTTCTTCGAAAAGTTTTTTTTTCACACAAATGAAAAATTTCTTAGAGTGAATCAAAGCATTAGTGTAGCATTAGCACCTAAGAGTAAGCGAAATAATTATGTAATTGATATATCATTAAACTTAATGTGGCATTAGGCGCGTTACAAAAGTTCTCAGGCTTTTTATTCCAAGTTTTATTTTTTTTCTAAATAGAATATCTGGATGATTTTGAAATATTAACACAGTAAAAACAAGTAAAAATATCAAATGTTACAAAATTAAAACTAATTGTACGAAAAGAATGCTAAAACTCTGAGGTGAATTAGGTTTCAAAAAAGTCTTTAATTTATTTACACAACACTTTGTGCTGAAATACACATATTATGCACACCAATTAATATATGAACATCATGTTTTCATAAACACACAAGTATAAACAGATGTATTCAGCAGTTGGCATTACTGTACAACAACTGCAGCGCCATCTGTAATGGCAAAACGGCTTAATTCTAGTCACTACGTTTGGTTACAGCATCAAAATTTGGGAAAGTTTTATCTAATATTTACATATCCTTACCATAAGCAGATTATTTAACTTTCACACGTGTTGCACATCACAATTACTGGGGAATTAGATAAATATTGGTTTCAAAAAGCAAGAACTATAGTCTAAGAGTGCCACTCATAAAAATTACGAATTAAACATTTAAGTTGTATTTTTCAACAAGTTCAAAGAAAGATCTCGATTTTATTGATAAAAATGTAGAGCTGCATAGTATACAAAAAACAAAACAAAACTGTATTAATAAATGTATGGGTTATTATGGACTGTTACACGTTGCTTTATAAAAATCTATTTAATCATGATAGTTTCTGAAGTGTGTTATCCTTCATGTAAAATCATAGTTTGACCTTCACATGTTTTCTAGTTTTAAGAAGATGTTTTATTTAGAACCAAGTTACTAAATGTATAATCATTGAGTTTATAACAAAGTGAGGCTCCGGCTGTTCAAAACAATAGCGTGCCTAATTCCTGTACATGCTGTCATTATTTGAATGATTTTGATTAAGTTATGAACATTACAATTGTAGAAGCAAACTTTATTGAAAAAATTATAAACTACCTCGAAATATAACCTAGATAATTCGCACAATTTCTATGTAGTTTTATCTCTCTTATTTCTATTATTCATAGCATTTTACTAAAAAACCTGAACACGCACTTTACAGTTTATACTTTCATAGAATATATATGTATGCCTAGTTTGTGTGACGACTACAACTAACATAATACAAGTGTTATTTTTCTTCAGCTGTAATAGCTTATATTTCCTTTTAGGTGTTTATCTATAGACTCATGCAATATCGTAAAACACTCAGTAAGGCGTAAAGGAAATAGAAAGTTTTTGATATTCTGAGGAAATAAGAAAAGTTAAAAGAAAAGTTCAGTTTGGAAGCGCTCTCTGTTGTGAAGAAAGATATAAAAAATGATTAGTCATCTTGGTCAATGCTATATACAAAAACATTAATGGTCGTGAGGTAAAACAGTTGTTTTTATAGTAGTAGTCTAACTTCTCCACTAGTTACACGTGACAGCAAATATGGAGGTGTAGAGTACTGAAAAAAAAAGACACCGAGGAGTTTTCTAATAAATAGTAATGTTTATCATTAAAATAGTTTTGTTCACGTATTTTTAAACTGAGAGAAGTGGATCGGTATAGATTGTAGTGACTAGGACTTTTTTTTCCAAACTAAAATTTATCACAAAACCAAAAAATATTGTTATATAACTTTAGGTTATTTGGCAAGGGCTTAATATATATGACTAAATATATAATAATAGAGAATTGTTCCTAAACAACCAAAAATTAAAAATTCTCAAGTGAAATTCTAGTTTCATACTATACTTTATCACCTGTTATTATTTTAAAGATATTCCATTGTTCTATGTACTTTAAATGTATAATATTGATATTTAATATGAGTTTTTTAATTATTTAATACGGATACATTAAAAGCTGGTGAGATGAGTTAAATGCTCAGTATAGTTTTATGAAGTGCGGAAACTTCACTTGTTACATCCCTAAACTTTTTTCTGGGAACGGTGATAACGCTACTAAAAAGATCGTGTAAGTTTGATTATTAATTGTTTGGTGAGTACATCTTATGCTAAAAATGGAATTTTTTCACGATTGTTTTATTCAAAAGAAAGCAGGGAAAGAGCAATGATATGTTTGTAGGTCATCTCAAGTTCAACAGAACACGTGCTTTATTTTGGATTGATTTCAACTGAACTTCATGACGTTCTATTTTATCAAATTCACACGTTTTCATCGTTATGGGCACTAGTTATATATGTACAGAATATTAAGGTGAGTATGTCACAACAAATCCAAACACATCTCCACATCCTGCATGCACAGATACGTGTTGTGAAATTACTTTTTACACCCTGCCACAACAAAACTACATTACATGTACAAACATGGAGGCCATTGTCTGTTTCATAAATTAATTTTAAAGTACAAAACACCAGCTCACACTGCGGGTTCTAACAAGGGAATGAAGAAACTCAGAGGAGCATGCGGTACCGGTTGGCGGCGGGTCCTGGCCGGACACCTTGGCTCTACCATCGGACAGGCCCCGCCACTGACCGTCATAAAGAATGATAATCTGTAGGCAGGCCTAATCCGAAGTCTCCCAGCTGTGAATGCATCAGTGCTCCGTGCATGGCCGTCGGAAACTCCGATGGATGGCTTAAGCGGAAAGCGCCACTTATGGCGGCGGTTTGAGAGACTCCGACCGATGAAGTTGGCGAGAGAGTAGCGACTGGATGATGCTGTAGTATTGGGCTGGGAGTTGCAACACTCATGCCTGCAGTTTTCATTTCCGTGCCGAAGATCCCATCAGAACTGCTTGCGGGTTCGGAGTCAGAATTTTGCAGCAGCTGTCGATGGTCTGTTCCCGTTTTATGGTCATCTTTTTCTGAGACTTCTGCTTCGGAGCCCTTGTTTGAATCGATGTTTTTTCCCTCTCCCCATCTCTGAAAGAAAAGTAAACAAACATAGTCGTCAGTGTCTTTGTTCCACTATATCACGCCAGAGGAGCCATAGGGGTGGTCCTCTTTCTACGATCCTATCTGCGGCATAGATTAAAAGGCAACAGTGAAATACAGAAGTTTGAAAATGGTTCTGTCACTTTCTTTGTTCATCTAAGCCTGACCCCTCAAACCTTTCTATCTTTCTAACTAATGGATCTTAACCTCTATGTACTGACCCCTCAAACCTTTCTATCTTTCTAACTAATGGATCTTAACCTCTATGTACTGACCCCTCAAACCTTTCTATCTTTCTAACTAATGGATCTTAACCTCTATGTACTGACTCTTCAAACCTTCCTGTACAGCATCTTTCTAAGTAATGGCCCTTAACCTTAAGTCAATGTTTACAATTAGAGCAGTTGAGGCTGCCTTCATCTACATCCTACATCAAATTGTTCTACATTCTCAAGAATATGCAAAGCCTGTTTCTTACACACCTACGGAGCTGCCAACATGCAGGGGAAAACTAGTACAACTGTGGCGCCAAATAAGCAGTCTTCCTACAATAAAATGGAGGAATGATTCGAAGAAAATACACTTCGTAAAAAAGTTTGTGTTCCACACTCTTTGATAATCATAAAACATAAATGAACTAATCTGATATGACAATGCGACCTCTATAATATCGTGTACTGGTAGAATGTATGGGCTGCCAACTATCTGTCTAGCTAGCTGCTATTTTTTAAGCCTTTATTTTTTACAACTTTCAAAGTTTCTTTTATAAAGTCACTAACATGTCCCACATTATGATACTTTGATAGCTTAAACGTATCTATACAAATATACAAACCATATACATATACAAACCAAACCTTTAACTACTATGAATATAGCATGTATGTCTTATTTTATTTGTTTTAATATACATAACTTTATGTACGGTAAAATAACTTTGTATTAATCATAAAGTTTTTATAAAACGAATGCGTAATTTATTAACAGTGCAAACGAGAATATATATTTTATATTTTATGTTGTATACACATTCTGTTATTTGACATTCGTAATCTTAAAACACTGTTTGGTGTTAAGATATTTTCATAAGGCCAGGAACAGAAAAAAATGGTCTATGTTTGTTTAATTTTTTAAATCGTTACTTTAAAAACAGTAAGTATGCATTTCATTCTCCTTTGAGCTAATTTAATTGTCTCCTAATGACTCAGCGATAACTTTCGCGGAATTTAATGATAAAATTTTGGGTTTAAAGCCCGGGAGCAGATACAGCACAGATTGCCCTTTTTTTGCTTTGCGCTTAAAAAACAACAACACAGATACACATAAGTTTATTACAATATGATGATAAAACACATTTAATTTAAAGTCTGTTGATTGTTTTCGTCTTCTTTATAACATAAGATATACTAAAACACTTGTTTTATAAAATATAACTACAAAATATTCCACAGAATAATCAAAAGTATTATTTAGTTTTCTAGACACATCTGCAAACACATAAAATTCTTTATATTAATTGTT